TTGGCCAAGTAGTATACCAATTCTGGATCCTAGAGGAAGTTAAGAGTCTCTGAGTGGTTCTAGTAGTGACAGAAATCGTGTTAGGGGTGATGAAATGGACAGGGTATATTTGCTGGTTTAAATGAATATGGGTTGATTTTACATTTTTTTTTCCTTTGTGGTACCAGGATACAGGGACACTTAACCACCGAGCTACATCCCCCTATCCCTTTTTATATCTTGAGACAAGGTCTCACTAAGTTACCCAGGGTGACCTTACACTTATGTTCCTTCTGCCTCTGCCTCTCATGTAGCTGGGCTTATAGGTATGTATCACCACACCTGGCTTATATATTTCTCTTTTTGCAGTGCTGGGGATTGAACCCAGGGCCTAGCACATGTTACGCAAGCACTTTACCTCTGAGCTACATACAGCCTCAGCCCTTACAGATCTTTTTTACTTTCAGAAAATAAAATGTGCAGAAATCTGATCTTTGAAGCAGAAAAGTTAGGGAATTTTTTTTGCATTGTCAAAATTTAGCTGTTATTCAAACAACCCATGGAATGCTCAGGGGACTAAAGCCTATTCATGTTACATTACAGGGTGTTTTCAGCACTGCGTATTTATAGAGTGCTGTCCAGATACACTTAGAGCTTTATGGAACTTGCATTTACATATAATACATGCTCCAAGTAGGAATTTCCTCTTCCTGAAAATGAGAGGTTGAGAATACATCCCTCTATGACTGTGGTCTGTATTATAAAAAACCAAAATGGCCATTGAGACCAAGCTAGACTTGGAGAAATAAAGACAGTTTCAGCTGACTGCCTCTATATTTCTTTTTCTTTGTCAAGGTTAAAACTTTTCAATGAATCCCTGATTTATTGTTTATTCTTTACCCTGGGATAAGGAGGTCCTTTCTGAATATTTTACTTACTGCAATTATTTTCAAACTCAGCTCAGCAGAGTTGGTGTTTCACAAGCTGGGTAAAGGGGCACTGCCATGGGAAATTGAATAATAACCAACTTATTTCAGTTCAAAGAAAAAAAAGGATATAATTTTCTCCATTTTAGGGTTTTTCCATATTATTTTCTAAAACTTGTGGTGCCTGCTATTCTAGACTTTATTAGATCTGTCACAGGACAAAATTATGTACTGAATTATTGTAATACATTAATATTTCATCATATTCTGCTAAGGCTATTGTTTTTTTGAAGGGCTCAGGGTAAGGCTGAAAACCCACCTTAGAGATTCTATGTTTCCTATCCAGCTATTCCCCTACAAACCTTTCTAACAACCTGAATGAATTTCAGAGACACAGGATTTGGTTGAAACATGTTCAGAATTGGCAATCCCTCTGTTATGGAAGAGGACAGACAGCAAAAGACCCAGACCCTAACCTGCTGGTCTGAGGACTCTCTGGCACTTTGTAGTTGCTAATGGCAGTAGTTTTCATACTTTCTGGGTCACAGAAGCTAGAGATCAAGGGCCCACTGCCCCTAAAAGTATTCCCCATAGCCAAATGGGGACAAAGCCAGTAGAAGAATGTCTGTGATATACACAGACATAATTATGGTAAAGCAGAATAAAAAGAGCAGTGAATTTGGGCCAGTGGATATAAGTTATGGTTCAACTCAAGTCACCAACTGTCTGTGTGACTGAGTAAGTCTTCTCACATCTCAAAGGCTTGATTTTTTTTTTTTTTTTGTAATCACTGTAACAGAGTGGTTACAAATCTTTTGCCAGATTGCAAGGGATCATAATCTGAATCTATTACTGTCTTATCTTGAAGAAATTGTTGAACCTCTCTATGCCTTATTTGTATCATCTTCAAGCTGGAGAAGGTAATAGCATCAGAAGTGTTTTGAAGAGTAAATTGGTTATTTCTTAATTATTATTTATTTATTTTATGAATTTTGAGGCAGGGTCTTGCTAAGTCTGCCTAAACTGGCTTTGAATTTGGGAGCTTCCTGAAATAGCCTCCTGAATTGCTGGGTTACAGGCTTGTGCCACTGCATCTGGCTTAAATGAGTTATTTAATGTTAAGGGTCTAGGAGAATACTCGGCACATAGTCAATGTTATACAAATGTTTGTTATTATAATTACTAACTACTAAAAGTATAGCAGCTGAATTAGATCATCTTTAAGACTCATTACTGCTTAAATACTCTACAGATTGAACTCAGGGGCACTTTACTTCTGAGTTACATCCTCTTTTTTAAAAAAATTAAGATAGGGTTTCACTGGAACTTGTGACCCTCCTGCCTTAGCCTTCTGAGTAGCTGTCTTCCCCCTGTCTTCCTTATTTCAACAGGCTAATTTACAAATTTAAACATTCAATAATTGAGCATTTCCCACATGCCTAGCACTAGCTTGTGTTTCCTATCTATGGATTAAAGGACTAGAATCATTTTAAAGGTCCCAACAATCTACAGTCCTAGAAACAGATTTGATGGTTGGGATACAGGAAAGGTGCTGATAGTGGCCCTGCCCTCCAGGAACTGAAAATGGAGCGCAGGGGTCCAGACTAACCTACCTGCTGTCCACTAGGGTAGAAGCAGCCTTAATCTACCCAGAGAAGGACACAGAACAATATTTTTTCCAGCTTCTTTGATTAGTGTGCAATTTTTTTCATCCCAAGATAAAATAAAGGACAAAATCTTCCATTCCAAAATACAAAATTTCATTTTATACACCCTTTTTTTTTTTTTTTTGACAGTACTGGGAATGGAGCCCAGGGTCTCACACACATGCAAAACACTGTATCTTTGCACTGTATCTCCAATTCCTCCCCTATGTTTCTTTACCTTAATTGTTTCTTGTATTTCCCTCTGTAGCCCATAAACACATTACAAGAGGTAAATGGTAGATATTTGATTCAAGTTGGAGAGGATTTTTTTTTTTTTTTTTTTGGTACTGGGGATTGAATTCAGGGCCACTCCACCACTGAGCCTCATCCCCAGACCATTTTTGTATTTTATTTAGAGATAGGGTCTCACTGAATTGCTTAGTGCCTCACTGTTGCTGAGGCTGGCTTTGAACTCCGGATTCTCCTGCCTCAGCTTCCACAGCCACTGGGATTACAGGCTCATGGAACCGTGCCTGCTGAGAGGAATTTTTTTTTTTTTTAAAGTTTAAGTTGTTGATAGACCTGTATTCTATTTATTTATATGCGGTGCTCAGAATCGAACCCAGTGCTTCACACATGCCAGGCAAATGTGCTGCCGCTGAGCCCCAGCCCCAGCCCAGGAAATTTTGATAGTGGGAAGAACACTGCCTATTTGAAGGGAGAAATCAGGCAAAGAGTCCCCAAAGGTCAAATTAGCGGCCAGGCTTGCACAACTGCCAATCATATATGGTAGAATAAACTACCACTTTCTTATTTTCATTTCCCATTTTCAAATTATAACCAACATTTTGCTATCTGATCTTGAAACCCTGTGAGAAAGGGTAGATGGTTTTATCCCCATTTTATAGTTGAGGCTCCAACAGAGTAAGTATTATTTATCCAAGGTATATCCTTTGAAGTGATATATAGCTAATAAGTGATGGAAACTTCCTAACTCTTCCCCTGTCTTCCTTATTTCAAGCTCTCTTCTGGGCTTAGGAATCCTGGTGAGGATTTGGAGTGGACAAATTAGGGCCTTGAAGGACAAGCGTATAAGGAGGGCTGAGTCTGAGGAAGCAGCAGCTTGGGGTATCAGCCAGGAAGAGGACTGGGGTAAGCAGTGGGATATTGGGTGGGGAAGGGGCTGGCGGGGCTAAAATGGAAGGAGGAGCTACAGGTCTGGCTGAGGGAACTGGGGGCCCCCTGGGCTGGGACGCAGGCGGGGTAGGGGCTCATAGGGAAGCCTGGCAGGCTGCCTTCTTCCCAGCTCTGGAGGAATGGTACTGCCTCTTAAGTCAGCCTCACCCACAGCCTTGGAATTAACCCTCCTCTATTTTCTGGTTCCACCATCATTCTAACCCTCAAAGAGTTAAAGGAGCTTTCATATAATTTTTCCATCTCCCAGGTAACTTGGGCAGCTGCTTCAAACGGGAAATAAATAAAAGCCCCAAACAATTTCTCGACTCTTGTACCTAGCAATGCACACCCCGCCCCTCACCCCAGCCGAGAAGCACAAACCTTTGGGTAAAAGGTGCCCGGGGAGGGACTCTCTGCAAGTTGGCAGGTGCGAGGAGGTGTGGGGAAAGGGCCACTCAGGGAGCGTAAGGCCAGAGGGCGACGTCTAAAATGCCTCTTCCCACATCCCCCTTCTGTGCCCTGGGCGCAGCAGGTTCCCTTCGGGGACGATGCCCCCCTAGGGCTGCCGGGGAGAGGAAAGAAGTGGTGTGTCGGCAAGCAGGCCGCACACACCTGGCGCCTTGTGGAATGAAATTTTAATTAATTATTAAACTGAGTTCCGGCGGGAGGGAGCGAGGCCGCCAAAGGGAGGGCGGGCACGGCGGGGTGGGGGCTGGGGCAGAGTGGAAAGGAGGGGTGAGGAGTGGGCTCTGGGCTCCCGCTCAACCCCTGGGGACCCCAACAGGAAGGAAGCCGACCCTCGTTGGGCGGGTGTGGCATTTTCGCAGTGTGAGGGTGGGTTTGTGGCGCGCGGACCCCTGGGCCGAGGGTGGGCTGGAATGCCGGAGGATGCTGCTCCGGGGTGAAGGGATGGGGGAACAGTGCTTAGCTCCCTCCCCTCCCGGGTCTTGATCCCAGAACAGTAGCCGCTTGTTTTCCCAAGACTGGGGGAGGAAGAGGCCGGAGGAGAGGAAGGGGCGCGCGAAGGGAGGGGTCCCATTCTTCGGTCTTCCCCCATTTTGACGACCCGGTTCCTCGGAAGGGGAATGGGCAACTCTGCCCCCCGCTCCTGGGGAGGGGGAGGGGGTGCCCAGACAAAAGGAGCTTGTGCCTTTAAGGCGGGGAGTCCGGGAGCCGGCGGGGAGGGGACTTCTGGATCCGGGGTAGAGGGCGGCTGCGCTGGACAACAAGGGAGGGGGCGAGGGCCGCTCGGACGGCTGGACGGCGGGCGGGACGGCCGGGACGCGCGGACACGGAGCAGGACCGCGGGACGGCCGGCCGGCCGGCCGGAGCCCGCAGGGGCGGCGGGGCGGGGGCCCCGGGGAGGCGCCGACCCAAGCCGGCAGGTGAGCCCGCGGGAGCAGAGCTGGGGAAGTGGTCACGCCGGCACACGGGCTGCGGGGCTGGAGCAGAGGCACCCCGGCGCGGCTCCCGACGAGTTTTTTTTTTTTTTTTTTTTGGGTGGGTGCAGCGAATCCGGAGATGGGCAGTCTCGACTATTTGGGGTGTGTGGGGGGACCCGAGGCAATGGGGCTGGTAAAGAGAAGTGCTGGAGATGGGGGATGAAGGAGTCCTCGGTCCCGGCCGGAGGGTCCCCACCCTCGGTCCCCGCCACACGCTTCCCTTCCTCCACTCGCTGGAGTTTCCAGGCTTGTCCTAAAGTGGGGGAGAAGCGTGTACTGGGGGAGGGGCTGGCCTGTGGGTTTGGCAGCGGGGCCCCGAGGGGTGAGTCTCTAAGTTTAGGGTAGAGTGTGATTGTGTTTAGAGGAGAGGGAGACTCTCTGCGGTAGGCTCCCACCCTGCCCTCACCCCAAGCCTTTGGAATGAAAGGGGTGGTGTCATTCTCCTCTTTCTCCCAAGGCCTGCTGCAGGGAAGGTAAACTGTATTCAGAGCAAACTTAGAGGTGTGGGGGCGACCTAAAAGCCAGAGGTGGAATTAGGTGGTGAGAGACCCTTTCCTAAGACCTTCCTCTTCCTTGCCAGAGTCCCACTGTGAGCTGGAAGACTCTGGTGGGTTGTATGGTTGGGGCTGGATGTAGGAACCCTTTGCAGTCCTTAGGGAGAGCTGGAAAGGGAGGAAGAGGCAGTGCTGAACCTACAGATACAGGCCTTGGGGAAGCCTCTACATCTGGAAAGGCCTGGAATTGAGGCCCACGTCTCAGCATGGTGGGTGGTGCTGGCACTGTTGGGCCCCGCCTGGGCGCTTTTTTTGCCATGAACTTTCTGAAGTTGTTTTAAAACCCCTGGAGCCTTCTTTTGCCAAGGAGGGCAGGGGCAGATGGCCCCTGGGGATGGGATGGATGAGAGGTGGCCAGGAAGAGGATTGAGCCAAGCAGTGGGCAGAGCCATCCTTGGGGCCGGGCCTTGGCTTTCTTCAGACTCTGGTCTCATGGAAGCATCATGATTTGGGAGGGACTTGAGGTCTGGGAGGCACTGAGCCTGGGACTGAGGGCTGAGTGGGACATAGCTCCACTTGTAGGAGTTGGTGATGCCAGGAGCAGCAGATCCATGTGGGAGAAAAGGGTCCAAGACTCAGGAAAGGAGGTCAGAGATGCAAGGGTCAAACTCTGATTGCTGGTAAGGGAGGTGGTCTGTGCTCCAGGTATTCATAGTGATGGGTTTTTGGACAGGGAGGGTTGAGGGACTGTATAGAGAAGTTTTGTGGCTTGGAACAGTGACCTCCCATATTTCTTGCCATACTAAGCTTGGCATAGGGTGCCAGGAGTGCTGGGAGTCCAGCAAGTTCTCCAGGATGGGCAGTGCCTGCAGTGGAGCCCAGGGTGGGATTGTTGCAGTTGGTTGGACAGTTACAGAGCTCTGAAGCTATTCCCTTGTGGGGTCATACAGTGTTCTTGGAAGGGTGATATGTTCCCCTGGACAGTGTCTGCCCCTTCCTCTGTGGGTATGAGCCAGATGCTCAAATGTGCTTCCAGGGGGCTGGGAACATGGCCAGAAAAGGTCCTTTGGGAACAGAGGTCCGAGGCAGTGGTGGTTGGAGATAAGAACAGGGCAGGGGACTGGTGAATGGAAAGAGGCTGAAACAAAATGTCGTGGGGGTGGGGTGGGAAACCTGCTCAGCCTGGGTTCTATCCCCAGCAGCTCTGGGGACTGACAACTAAGGACACAGGGACTGATAGAACTAAGCATCTGACTGGCTGAAAGGATGTGTTTTCTTACTTATGACTTTAGTCTTTCCATCTCTTGGACATCGGCAGAGGTTTGGGTTCAAAGTGTTGTGGGGTGGGGAGAAGAACTAATATTTACCAAGTGTGAACTATATGACAGGTATTATTAGGTTCTTTCCTCAGGACCATTATTATTCCCATTTTATAGATGAAGAAACTGATGCAGGGAGGTTAAGTAACTTGTCCCAGGTGGAGTAGCTAGCAAATAATCACACTAAGGTTTGAAACCTGGTCTCACACCAAAGGTGCTTCTAATGAAATATTGTCAAACGCCAGGCTTCCTTTGGTGACCTTTTCCAAATGCCAGCCTGACCAAAAGTCTTGTAGTCTTGATCTGTCCTTCCAGATGACACTGTTGGTGATTCGAGTTTGAAGGGCATGCTGCTGTATGGAATATAGGAGAAGGGATGCCGACAGAACTTGGCTGAGGAGAAGGAGATGGAGGTTTTGGGGTGTGCAGAGAAGTCCCAGCCTGCCTTCTGCTTTTTGGGCCCTTGGGTGTCTGGAGTGCTGCTCATCTGGCATGAGTGTCTGGTTCTGTGGCCACCTGGGGCAAGCACTGGGTACACTTCCTTCCAGTTCCCTAGTGAGTACAAATGTCAGTGCTGTTTGCTCAGCAGGTTTAAGTACAAGGGGCCCCTCAGGGTGCCCTGTGGACATGGAGGTATGTGGCCCTGGTGGGAATATGGGCATCCACAGGTGACAGTTCTTTCATGTTCATCTACTCCTGACCTGGGCTCAGTCAGGAGACATGTTAGAGCTATTGTCATGGAGTCTTCCCACCCCAGTCCAAAGCTCGTCCCTCCGGGAAACCTGGGATCTAAGACTGATTTGGTTACCTAGGATCTCTGTAGCTTGGGCCAGACATATAAAACTGGCATGGACTTCGGCTTTTATTTTTTTCTGTTGAATTTGTCTTGTGCCCCAGGTGGCCACTTCACAATGTTTTAATGGAAATCAGGTGGAATTAAGCATTTGAAAAGGCAGAGAAAGTTTATGGGGGGTATAATTCATCCATCCACTTAATATTTATTTACATCCTACTAAGTGTTGAGGATCATGAGTGAGCAAAACAGGCCCAAATTCTTGCCTTCATGAAATTGACATTCCAGTTAGGAGAGACAATGAACAAATAAGAAAAATACATAGAATGGCAGTTGCTGATAAGAGCTGAGGAGTAAGAGAAAGTATAAAGCTGGGAAGAGAGATAGGGAGCCCCAGGAAAGGGAGTTGCTATTACAATGTGGTTAGAGAGAGCCTCACTGATAAGGGGGACATTTGGGCTCTGACCTAGAGGAGCTCTTGTTCCAGGTGGGGGAACACGAGTCCCAGCAAAGAAGCTAATGTGACTAGGTGGAGTGAGGAAGATAGAGTCAGGACTATCATTATTAGCTGCTTCATTTCCATGCCTTTAAGCTTGCTTGCTTTCTATCTTTTCAATATGTATTTATCGAGTCCCTACTATAAGACGGGTCTACTACATGGCTCTGGTGATAAAAGTGATGAATAAAATTGAGTTAATCTCTGCCCTCACAAAGCTTTTGGTAGAGGGGCATGCAGAGAAGTCCCAGTCTGCCTTCTGCTTTGTGGGCATTACACAAGGAATTATTTAATTATAATTGCAATAATTATTATGGAGGAAATGTACAGAGGTAAGGGACCAAACTTAGTTTGGGTGGGAGAGCTGGGAATTCTTCCCTGAGGAAGTTATACTTAAGCTATGACCTGACTGGAAAGTTGAATTTAGCTTGGTGAAATGTGCCATGGGTATCTGAATGATGAGGAAGGATGTGGAAAGAGATTCCCTTTAGTACAGAGGTCACTGATGGGCAGCTCGCAGGCAGAGCTCATTCCAGAGACATGATTTATTTGGCTTGCAGTGTTGAAAATGTGGATTAGTTGCCAGTGTTAAAAAAATCAACAGATGTTGCATTGAAATATACTTTCTGATGAAAAGTCAGAAGCTTTGGCCCCACTGGGACACCAGTGGCAGTAATCTACTGGTGCCAGGTGGTGATTGCCTTCCATGCTCAGGGTATGGACTATTCCTTGCAGTTCTCCTGAACTATGGGTTGCTTCACCCCTTGACATGGGCTCTTGTGTTTGTGACCACCAGGAAATCAATGCCTTTAGGGGAGAGGTGAATTGTTAAGTATGCTGGCTTTGGCTTAGAATCTTGGTTTTTGCACTTTTGTGGTTGCTGGATCTTGGGGAAGTTTCTTCATCTCCCGGTGTCATGGTTTCTCGCCTGTTGAATGGGGATGCCACTGCCTACTTCAAAGTAATTTTATGAGAATGATGTATATGAAGTGCTTAGCTGGGCTGTGGGAAGTGTTCAGGTGATGCACTATTACAGGTGGCAGAAGCCCTGATGGTGTTGTTAAGACCATCTTATGCCTTTCTTTCCAGCAGCATGTCATGGTTTAGTGGTCTCCTGGTCCCTAAAGTGGATGAACGGAAAACAGCCTGGGGTGAACGCAATGGGCAGAAGCGCCCACGCCGTGGGACTCGGTCCAGTGGCTTCTGTACACCCCACTATATGAGCTGCCTCCAGGATGCAGAGCCACCCAGCCCCACCCCTGCAGCTCCTGCTCGGTGCCCCTGGCAGGATGAGGCCTTCATCCGGAGGGCAGGCCCAGGCAAAGGCGTGGAGCTGGGGTTGCGGGCAGTGGCCCTGGGCTTTGAGGACACTGAGGTGACAGCAGCAGTTGGAACAGCTGAGGTGGCACCTGATGTGGCACCCAGGAGCAGGCGATCCTGCTGGCGCCGTCTGGTGCAGGTGTTCCAGTCAAAGCAGTTCCGCTCAGCTAAGCTGGAGCGCCTGTACCAGCGCTACTTCTTCCAGATGAACCAGAGCAGCCTGACGCTGCTGATGGCGGTGCTTGTGCTGCTCATGGTGGTGCTGCTCATTTTCCACGCAGCACCCACACGCCCTCAGCCTGCCTACGTGGCCCTGCTGGCCTGTGCTGCCACCCTCTTTGTGGTACTCATGGTGGTATGTAACCGACACAGTTTCCGCCAGGACTCCATGTGGGTGGTGAGTTACGTGGTGCTGGGCATCCTGGCGGCTGTGCAGGTCGGGGGTGCCCTGGCAGCCAACCCGCACAGCCCCTCAGCAGGCCTCTGGTGCCCCTTGTTTTTCGTCTACATCACCTACACACTCCTACCCATCCGCATGCGGGCTGCTGTGCTCAGTGGACTGGGCCTCTCCACGTTGCATTTGATCTTGGCCTGGCAACTCAACCGTGGTGACACCTTCCTCTGGAAGCAGGTGGGTGTGGAGAGCACTTGGATAGGAATGGCAAGGAGACTTGGAAATGAAGGGTAGGGGAGTCATGGGTGGATCCCGAGTGTGGGGATTTCTAGCTGGGAGGCCAGGTTTGAGGAATGCCACTCCAGTTGGAATCTGTGGCAGGGGATGCTGCTGAGAGGAGGGAGGATTCCAGAACCCAGGCCTGTAGTCTGTCACCATAGATCACAGTCTCCAGCTCTTTGGCCTGAGCCTACTGAAATAATGTAGCCTGTAGAGAGACACAATGTGGGGCTTGAGGTGGGGATGTGATGTTTAGACCCTGGGCTACGGTGGAACTGAGAAGATTGTGCAGGTTGTATCCTCTGTCCCCAAGTTGACCCTTGAGACTCAGGCCCTGGTACCATCCCTGAAGAACAGTTCTAGGTGATGATCTGAAGGGAAGAACAAGTTTTGGATAGAATTGGTAAAGAAGGAGTCACCTCTCTCCTAGACTAAGGCTGTTTCTGAGACAACAGGGAAGGTAGAGAGCTTGGGTTTCCCCTGGGCTCGGGGTGATTTGAATGGAATTATACTAGAGAAGAGAGGAACACCAGAGTCTAATGTCCACACATCTTGGTCCACAATCTTGCTCTGAGGTTCTCCGTATGTGCTGGATACTGTCTTGGGGTGCTAAGTGTGGGTAAGTGGGGCTCAGTATCACCACATGGAAGTGAGAATAAGGGTGTGGTTGCAGGTAGACTGGTTGTCCAGTGTGTTGCATTCTGCTCTGTGGGATCTTAGACAACTAACTTGCCTCTCCAGGCTTCGTTTCCCAGTCTGTAAAACCAGGGTAAAAATAGCTTGTATCATGGTATTGCTGTGAGGACTTTACCCTTCTCTGAGTGGAGTAGGACCTAACAGGTCAGGGTTCCCACTTGTGGCAGTGAGCTATGGGGAGTGCTATAGGATTTTTGGGAAGCTCCTTTCAGAGAGACATGTTGATGGGTTCTCATGTTATCCCCTGCTGTGGTGCAAAGGCCAGGCTGCTGTTGGTACACTCCCCTAGTCAGCACTCCGTATGGGCAATCATTGCCACCAATCTTGAGTGCTGTCCTCTACTTCCCTCAGTGTGTGAGGGACTAGCCTCTGCCTTGCCCAGGGCTTGTGGTTTGTGGCCCACCCTGGTCTGACCATGGAGAGGAAGTTGCCTGGGGCTCCCAGGGTGAGGAGCTAGGTGCTCTGGCATGATGCCCTTCCCCGCCCAGCCTGTGCTCCAGAACACAACGTACCTTTTTAAAAGTAGCTTTATAGCCCGTTTGTTTGTGGAACACGTGCCCACAGGGCACTGTTGGACCTCTTAAAGGGCTAGGTCCTTCTACCCTTGCTGGTCCCCCAGCTTTTCTTTCAGGCTATTAAGGTGGGCTTTGGGGCTGGCCTGCCATCTTGGAGGAGAGGGAGCTTAGAGGTGGTGCCTTCCTTCCCCGTTCCTCTCTGGATGGCCAGAGGTGGGTGGGTCTCTTCTCTGCTCTCTGCTGGCATGATGCCCAGAGCCAGGCCTGGTACCTGATTGGGGAGGTTCAGCTTCAGGAAGGTCAGAACTGCCAGCGTCCCACTTCTGTAAGGGTGCCTGGCCTAATCCTGTGGGTCTTGGCGAATACATTTTTGGAGTGATGAAGAAAGTTGTGCTGCCCTTATGCCTATCTGTAAGGCCAGGACTGCTCATATAGCCTCCTATGAGCTGAGAACAATTCCCTGTGTGCTTTTGGAGGGAGTGGGGTTTTGTGACCTCCTTTGAGCTTCCTTTGGTCAGCCCCTTCCCAGATCCAGCCCCAGTCATGTTAGTGAGAAGGACCTTCCTCCCCAGCCCACTCATTCAGACACACTGAGCAGTGTCACCTGGTGACCCCAGCCCAGCTGGCATCTCCTCCAGTGTCCTGGCATCCATTTTTTCTCACAGTCGGACAGGGATGTGTGTGAACAGTTATTTCAGTCTCTCATCCCCCTTCCCCTTCCCTCCACCGTGACTCACATTTTCCTTTTGGGCTCCTGGGGCCAGGAAGGGAAGTTGCCTTATTTGCCCCCCTTTTCCTTCTCCCCCACTGGGGGCTATTCTTAGAAGCCCCATGGGGAGAGAGTGTGCCCCCTCTTCACCCCTGCTGCTGGGAGGGGGACCTCGGTCTATTTGGCCTGGGGCCTTGTGCACTGGACTGGGAGGAAAGCTGAGAGGCCAGTCTTGTGGGGGTCACAGCTGAAAATGACTAGGAGTTAGTCAAATCTACTTCTCAAATTTACATAGAAGAAACTGAGGTCCCCTAAATTGAGTGACCTTTTGAAGTCTGTAGGACTAGTTTTGGTTCAGATCAGTTGGTAAGCTTTCCCTCCCTTCTCCTAGACCAGAGCCCTGCCCCATCCAGCTCTGGGGTGGAGCTGTAAGTGCCAGGTTAACCCCCTAGTTTCCAAAAGCACTGAGGCCAGCTTTTCTTGGATTTGCTCTCCAGCCAGCCAGTGATAATGATGAGGGCTGACCATGCCTAAGGTGGGGGCCTTGGTGTGGGACCTGGCAGGGCCCAGCAGGATCTAGTGTGTGTGGGGGGAGTTATACCTTGGGGGTAGCCAGACATGGAGGTACCTCATCCCCAGTTATAGAGGGTTCTTTGTATAGTGGAATTGATGACTCCCAAGCCTGGGTTCTGAGCTTGGCCTTGAGCTTGAGTGGAACAAGGAGGACTCTTGGAAACCTGGAATGCACTAGGTTGGAACACAGGCTTTGGAGTCTAACTGTCCTGGGCTTAAGTCCCATACCAGCCACACCAACTGTGTGATCTTGGGCAGGTTACCAAACTTCTCTGTACTCTGAGATCCTCACCTTTAAAATGGGATGCTGTTGCTGTGGTGGTGTACCCCTGTAATCCCAGCAACTCGGTAGGCTGAGTCAGGAGTATTACAAGTTCAAGGCTAATCTCAGCAATTTAATGAGACACTCACAACCTAGGCAGACCCTGTCTCAAAATTTAAAATAAGTAAGTAAGTAAGTAAGTAAGTAAATAAATAAATAGGAATGTAGCTTAGTGGTAAAGTGCCCTGGGATTCAATCCCCAGTACCCAAAACAAATAAATAAAATGGGATATTGTCAATTCATAGAGTTGTAAGAAATGCATAAATTAATGTATAGGAAGTGTCCATAGAATCCTGGCATGTTGCAGATGGCCAACAAACCAGCTATAGTGGTGGTGATAATAATAATTAATAATAATAAGAATAATAATGGTAATAATGGTCATTATTGTTATTCAGTATGCAGGGCAGGGAGAGACTTTAGAAATTTTTTTTATTAATCAAGGGATTTTTATGCTGTATTGAACTTTATAATAGACTACATTACCAAAATAATATACCAGTCTAAATTATTTTCTACACAAGATCAAAATTCAAAATCAGTTAGGCATTAAACAATAGTTGTGTTATTATTTTAATGGCAAGAGAAACTACACAGCCTCTTTTAAACAAATTTATCATTAAGTGGCAGCCAAAGTTTTAGAGATCTTCTTATTCTTCCCTGTTTGAGTTATAGATGAGCAAACAGAGGCCCAGAGATGAGGTGACTTGTCCTGGGCCACTCAGAGGAGGATGGAGAGAGCTCAGGCCTCCTGGGTGCTATTCTTTTTTTTTTTTTTAGTTGTAGATGGATAGAATGCCTTTATTTTATTTATTTATTTTTATGTGGTATTAAGGATTGAACCCAGTGCCTCACACATGCTACTAGGCAAGCTCTCTGCCACTGAGCTACAGCCCCAGCCCTTGTGGGTGCTATTCTTCTGTAAGGAGAATCCCATGTAGGGGGAGCAGCCTTTGTCTTTCTTTCGGGTGTTTGTGAGGCAGGGGATCATAGGGAGCTGAGGTGGGCACCATGACCTACCTGGTCCTAGTTGGTGCTCCTGTTCCCAGATGCTGTGATAATATTACCTTTTTAGTCATGGAGTGACCCAGGCAGAGGGCCAGGATGTGAAGTCCTTGAGGAATGGAAGAGATATGTTTCAAGGATGGGGACAGAGAGGGTGCAGGACTATGGCTTCTCTCTCAAAGGGATACATTTAGAGAAAGCCTAGCAAGTTGTATGTGTGCATGTGTGTGTGTGTGTGTGTGTGTGTGTGTTGGGGTGGGTGCTCACCCATCTGCCTCTGCCACCATCCTGCAGCTTGGTGCTAATGTGGTGCTGTTCCTCTGCACCAACGTCATTGGCATCTGCACACACTACCCAGCTGAGGTGTCTCAGCGCCAGGCCTTTCAGGAGACCCGCGGTTATATCCAGGCTCGTCTGCACCTGCAGCATGAGAATCGGCAGCAGGTGGGAGCTGTTTCCCCTGACCAGTGTTCCCCTCCTAATTCCCCAATAGCTTACAGATTGGATCTGCTGCTTGTTCAAGTCTGTGGAACTCTGTGAATAGTTCCTCCTGGACTGTGCATCACAGAGGCTCTGTGACACTGGGGTTCTGTCTTGTCCAAGGGTGGGAGTAGACAGGAGTGCATTTGGGAGATTGAGTGAGGGTTGATTAGAGAGGGCTGGGATGGAAGACTGCTGAGGACTCTGGTGGACAGTGTTGGGTCACAGTCCAGAAGGGAAGTTCAGGTTCCCAGAGATAATGTGGAAGGATTAGGAAGAATTGTAAAGAGGATAGCAGTGCCCTGTTGGAACCACTGGTCTAGGAGCGGCTGCTGCTCTCGGTGTTGCCCCAGCATGTTGCCATGGAGATGAAAGAAGACATCAACACAAAAAAAGAAGACATGATGTTCCACAAGATCTACATCCAGAAGCATGACAACGTCAGGTAGGGCAGGGATAGGAGGATACCAGGAGGGGTGGGAGGTTCTGGGAGACTTTGAGGGCTGCATGGCCCACCTATCCTTTGCTGTTGTTCACAGCATCCTGTTTGCGGACATTGAGGGCTTCACCAGCCTGGCCTCTCAGTGCACTGCTCAGGAGCTGGTCATGACCTTGAATGAGCTCTTTGCCCGGTTTGACAAGCTGGCCGCGGTGAGGGTGCTGGGGCTTGGGGTGGTGCCAGTTGTGGTGAGAGCCCAGCTTTGCCTGTGGCAGCTGGGGGTGTGGGTGGCAGATAGGGTACAGTGAGGGCGGTGAGCCAGGTAGGCTGAGTGGGTAGGAGAGTAAAGGTGACCCTTTCCTTTACCTCTTCCCCTTCAGGAAAATCATTGCCTCAGGATCAAAATCTTAGGGGATTGTTACTACTGTGTGTCAGGGCTGCCAGAGGCCCGAGCAGATCATGCCCATTGCTGTGTGGAGATGGGGGTGGACATGATCGAGGCCATCTCGTAAGCAGTGCTCCCTTCCCAGGATTCCTGGAATTGTGGGTGTCCCATACTATTCCTACTCTTTAATGTGTCTTCAGGAATTTTCCTCAGCCTTGGCTCTTTCTCCAGTCTGTGTGAAGACCCATGTGGCACCTCTAGACTCCAACCAGCCTGGAGGGTGCAGGGAGCTGGGTGGTGGGGAATGGGGCTGCAGAAAATGCCAGCTGAGCAGGCTGAGGGTGAGAGATGTGATTCTTCCTCTGCCAGCTCAGTTTCACAAAATGCTACAGGCCCTGCTAACACAGCTCTCAAACCTTTGTCCTTGAGCCCTGTGCAGCCTCCTGCCAATGTCCAGCCAAGGCTATGCTTCTGTCCCCTGCAACTGTGTAATCTGTACTTGTCCCCTGGGCTGCCTGTGTTATGGACTGGGGGAGGGGAAGACTGTACCAAGAGCTGATCCCAAGCTGCATCTTCCCAGGTTGGTGCGTGAGGTGACAGGCGTGAATGTGAACATGCGTGTGGGCATCCACAGTGGGCGTGTACACTGTGGTGTCCTTGGCCTGAGGAAATGGCAGTTTGATGTGTGGTCCAACGATGTAACCCTGGCCAACCACATGGAGGCAGGGGGCCGGGCTGGGTGAGTAGAAGAGCCAGGTGGTAGGGGATGGGAAGGAGGTGGGAGATTCAGGGACTCACCTCCTGGTCCCATACAGACGCATCCACATCACTCGGGCCACGCTGCAGTACCTGAATGGGGACTATGAGGTGGAGCCAGGCCGTGGTGGTGAGCGCAATGCATACCTCAAGGAGCAGCGTATTGAGACTTTCCTCATCCTGGGCGCCAGCCAGAAAAGGGTCAGGGCCAAGGCAGGGCTGGGGGGGAAGGGCAAGCAGGGACAAATAGAGATGAGTCGGCAAAGACCTTCTTGGGGACCTTCTTCTAAACCTGTATCCGCACTGCCCTCACAGAAAGAGGAGAAGGCCATGCTGGCCAAGCTGCAGCGGACACGGGCCAACTCCATGGAAGGGCTAATGCCCCGCTGGGTGCCTGATCGTGCTTTCTCCCGGACCAAGGACTCCAAAGCTTTCCGCCAGATGGTGAGGGACCCTCGAGACCAGGACATGGGGCCTCACTTTTTTTGTTTCCTTCAACACTGCACCCCCCTCCTTCCTACAGCTGCCAACTTCATGTGTGCTTTCTGTTGGGGTCAGGAGAATGGTTCATCTCTGGGGTCCCATGTACCCAAAAGCATATGTGGGGACACCCTCTACCCAGTGTTGGGAATGGGAGAAGGGACTGCAGAGGTGAGGGTGGTGGCCCCTCCCCTCATTCACACTCTGTTCCCTTCTCCAGGGCATTGATGATTCCAGCAAAGACAAGTAAGTCAGGTTGTTGAGGAGGGGGGATGAGGAGGGAGAAGGTACTTACACCTGGACTGGAGCTGCAGGACCTGAGATCCCTTCTTTCCTGGGCTTTTGATATGTGTGTGGGAGCAGGAGCCACATATGTGGCTCACATGCACTGGCTTGGTTGCTGCCTATGCCCTCCTCCTCTCACTATTTATCACATGCTATTGCTCATGCACTTGGTGAAGCATGTCCCCTGCCCTCAGCCGGGGTGCCCAAGATGCCCTGAACCCTGAGGATGAGGTGGATGAGTTCCTGGGTCGTGCCATCGATGCCCGCAGCATTGATCAGCTGCGTAAGGACCATGTGCGCCGGTTCCTGCTCACCTTCCAAAGAGAGGATCTTGAGAAGAAGGTTTGGGGGATACAAAAGGATGAGGGCTGGGGGAAGGGCAGATTCAGGCAGAAAAGGTTGAACACAGGTGAGGGATCAGGACAGGGTTTTGAGGAATGGGGAGGGAGCACAGTAGGGTGGAGATTCATATCAATTGGTCTAATTGTTTCTCCTCCCCTTGAGGAGTACCCTGCCTTTGCTGTCCCTGCCTGCCCCAGGGCAGCAACACCCAGTGCTCAGCTCAGCCCCCTCTCCCTCAGTACTCACGGAAGGTGGATCCCCGCTTCGGAGCCTATGTTGCCTGTGCCTTGCTGGTCTTCTGCTTCATCTGCTTCATCCAGCTCCTCATCTTCCCACAGTGAGAGCCTTGCCCCTCATTAACCTTCCTGGAATAGTCATAAATACCCACACAAGCCCCCAGTTCCTGGAGCCTGCACCCCTGCTTGTTCTGGGGTTGGGACAAAGTGTCCACATCTTCCTGAGCAACATTTTCCCTGCCTCAGCTCCACCCTGATGCTTGGGATTTATGCCAGTATCTTCCTGCTGTTGCTGGTTACTGTGCTGATCTGTGCTGTATACTCCTGTGGTTCCGTATGTAGGGGGACTTCCTCAGGGATCTTGGGTGGTAGGGAGGGGGACCCATGGGGAGAGGGAGGAAAGGTCATTCCTCTCCTTCTGTGTCCCATCCATGGGTGGCCTTCCTTCTTGGCTGATGTGGCTTCTAACTTTTGGTCATTTGCTACTACAGCTGTTCCCCAAGGCCCTGCAGCGTTTGTCCCGTAGCATTGTCCGTTCACGGGCACATAGCACCACAGTCGGCATCTTTTCAGTCCTCCTTGTGTTCATTTCTGCTATTGCTAACATGGTAAGAGTCCAGTGGGAGTTCTTCCACCTCTGCTTTGTGCCGAGCACTACTCTGGCACTGGGAATGCTTCCTGCCCTCAGGGAGCCTGCTGTCATAGATGAGAGGAATGGTTAATGCCAATTCTCCTTCTTCATTTCCTCCACCTCTTGTCATCCCCTGAGAACTTTGGCCCCTGGAATATAAGGCACCCGGGCATGGCCTTTGTAACCCTTCCCCTCCTTGTACCCTGATATGTACCTGACTTTTGCAGTTCACCTGTGACCACACCCCCATACGGACTTGTGCAGCCCAGATGCTGAATTTAACACCTGCTGACATCACTGCCTGCCATCTACAACAGCTCAATTACTCTCTTGGCCTGGATGCTCCCCTGTGTGAGGGCACCGCACCCACCTGCAGCTTCCCTGAGGTGTCCAAGCAGTGTTCAGGCAGAGGGGGGTGTCCTGGCACACTTTTTGGCCCTCCTGTGCCAGGCTGATGATTGGCACTGGGGACCCAGGAACTCACCAGACTCCCCAAGTGTGGCTTAGAACCCACACTTCTAAATAACCAGGGGCCCTAGTGTGGTGTAGGCCAGGCATGGAGGGTGAGGGATATTGGGGTTTGAGGGTTGTGGAAGGGGAAGATAGGTCAGGCAGGGGAGTACAGGGCTCTTCCTGCCCCGGGTGCCAGTACCTCTGCTGTCACCCAACGCTTCCTCTGCCATCGCCCCCTCCCCCAGTACTTCGTTGGGAACATGCTCCTGAGTCTTTTGGCCAGCTCTGTCTTCCTGCACATCAGCAGCATCGGCAAGTTGGCCATGATCTTTGTCTTGGGGCTCATCTATTTGATGCTGCTTCTGCTGGGTCCCCCAGCCACCATCTTCGACAACTATGACCTACTGCTTGGTGTCCATGGCTTGTAAGTTTATTCTCAGCCCCCTTAATACTCCAGAAGTCTTCCTGACTCTGCTGGGTCACTGAGTCTCTCTCTTGTGCCCAGGCCCTTATACCCTTGGAATGCTACTATGTACCCGTGGGAGAAAGGGAGGAAATGGAGGAACTCCTGGCATGTGACCCCAAGTAGTTACCCTAGGGAAGCACCCCAGTTCTCAAAAAATCCCTGTCTCTTTAGGCTAGACGTTAACAAAAATTCCCTCTGACATATGCCTGGTGCTTTCCTACCCAATGTCTTAACACCTGTGAGTCACAGAGCTGCTTGGTGGCAGAGCCCGGGCTTAGAACCCACATTTCTAACTCCTGCTTAAGGACACCACACTGACTTTTCTTATGCAAAATCCTACCCCTTGTGATATGTAGCCATAGCTTGTTGAGGTAGAGAGCCTCTGGAGACTGCTGGGTTTGAATCCCTGCTCTACCATTTATTAGCTATGTGACCTTGGACAGGTGAGTTAACTTCTCTGAGCCTCAGTTTTCTCACCTGTAAAATGGCAGTGCCACCTATACCATAGGGTAATTATAAAGATAATAGTAATTAACATTTATGAAGGTTTACTGTATGCCAGATATGGGCTAAGTCTTCCATATGCATTATTTAGATCTGATTCTTGTTTTGCTTATGAGGAAACTGAACTTAGTTTTAAGTAATTTGTCCTATACTAGTAAGTAGAAAAGCCAGTAGGAGTTAATATATAGAAAATATATAGAAAAGCTCTGGCCCAATGCCTAACTGGTCGCATAGGCTTGGTAATGCAGTCTCTGTCCCTTCTCCATGGCCTGCCGAGCAACCCAGAAAGCACTGAAGATGCTTCCTGTCTTTTGTATTTTCATGCCAGGGTTCCATCCAATGAGACCTTTGATGGGCTGGACTGGTAAGTGAGGGCTCCAGGGAAGCAAAGGGTGGGGCCATCAGCTGCCTCCTGAGGATACCAAGCATGTCTCTGCTTATCCTTAGCCCAGCTGCAGGGAGGGTGGCACTCAAATACATGACCCCTGTGATCCTATTGGTGTTTGCACTGGCGCTGTATCTGCATGCCCAGCAGGTGGAGTCAACTGCCCGCCTGGACTTCCTCTGGAAACTGCAGGTGACTTGGATGGGCCTTTGGCAGAGGTGGAGGAACTTGGGGCCAGAGCCTGGGCCAAGCCAAAAATGCATTTCTTGCTAGCTGGCTAAGGCTCAGGCTGCCCTAAGCCCAACTAGTCCCATGCCTTCTCTGCTCATGCCCTTCCCTCTGTCTCCTCCTATATTTGCCCCCTTCACCTCTTTGCCTGATCTTTAGGCCTCATCTATCAGTGTCTTTCTTCCTCTACATGATTCCCTCTGATGCTCAACTCCAGGCCTTGGCCACTATACCCACCCCTTGTGAATGTTGGGTAATGGGCGATGGATGTGGTATCCACAGGCAACAGGGGAGAAGGAGGAGATGGAGGAGCTCCAAGCATACAACCGGCGGTTGCTGCATAACATTCTACCCAAGGATGTGGCTGCCCACTTCCTGGCCCGTGAGCGCCGGAATGATGAACTCTACTATCAGTCGTGTGAGTGTGTGGCTGTTATGTTTGCCTCCATTGCCAACTTCTCCGAGTTCTATGTGGAGCTGGAGGCAAATAATGAGGGTGTCGAGTGCCTGCGGCTGCTCAACGAGATCATCGCTGACTTTGATGAGGTATTTGTCCAGGTGACCAGTGCTGGCAGACAGTAGGGGAACTTGGGGACCAGAGGAGTGATGTGAACTTTGGATGAGAAGGCCATAATTAGAGGGGGTGGGTGGTAATGGAGGAGAAAGGGAGATTTAATGGGAACCAGTGATGTCATGGATAGGGGTAAGAGTAGGTACAGTGGAGGTGAGGGAAAGAACCCATGAAGGTCAGAGGTGGCAAGGGGGGTCAGCCCCAGTGGGGACAGGACATCCTTATTGGGGAACAAAGAAGGTCATAATGATTAGTGAGGGATAGGAAAGGTACTAGGTGGATGTCATGAAAAGGAAAGCAGTAGTCTGACCTCATGGGACCAAGCAAATAAGACCATTCCCTGAATAGAGAAAATGGAAGCAAAATATGAGGAAGTGTTCTGAACATTCAGGTCAGGAATGGGAAGTCCCTTCCTCATTTTGGGACTCAGTTCCCCCCAGAGATGAGCGTTGGAGTAGTTAATGCTCAATGACCTCTGTGTTCTCTGAGTGGGTCATCACAGCATCACAGTTGATCGTCCCAAGTGCTATTCTCAAGGCCTTGCCTAGGTCCCTAGACTGCCTATTTTCCTGGCTGCTCAGTTCTGTAGTGAGAGCAGCATCTGGAAGGGAGCTCATCCATTAAAAAGTGGTGATGGTGGTGTGTGTGTGTGGGGTACTTTCAAGATAGAAATGAGGGAAAGGAGCGAAGGTATGGAGAGGAATGAGCCTTGGAGCAGAGCTGGGTTTTGCCTTGACAACTAGATTCCCCTGTATTGTCCAGATCATCAGCGAGGAACGGTTCAAGCAACTGGAAAAGATCAAGACAATTGGTAGCACCTACATGGCTGCCTCTGGGCTGAATGCCAGCACCTATGATCAGGTGGGACGATCCCACATCACTGCCCTCGCAGACTATGCAATGCGGCTCATGGAGCAGATGAAGCACATCAATGAGCACTCCTTCAACAATTTCCAGATGAAGATTGGTGAGAAGGCCTGGTTCCTTGGCAGGTGTTCCCAGGACTGTTTCTGGGTGAAGTTGAGGGTACAGGCTGGGGGTCACAGATCATCAGGGCTCCTGTGGGGTTTCCTTTCCTTCTACCTTCTATATCTATATTGATATTAAGAACAGAGACCAGCCAGGTGTGGTGGGTACACCCATATTCTCAGCAACTTGAGAGGTGGAGGTAGGAGGATCTCAAATTTGAGACCAGCCTGGGCAACTTAGGGAGACTCTGTCTCAAAATTAAAAAAAAAAAAAAAAAGACTGGGCATGTAGCTCAGTGGTAAAGCACACCTCAGCTCAATCCTCAGTATCACAAGGGAGAAAAAAGAAGAGAGGTAATTTATTATGGTACTTCTATGTTCTAGACTCTGTCCTAGATATTTTGAGTACATTTTAATCCTCACATTACTATTCCCTTTCTAAAGATAAGGAGAGTGACTCTCAGACATCAATGACTAGTAGGTGGCTAAACTGGGATTTGAAACCAGGCCTACCTAATCTAAACTCCAATGCCTGTGTCCTTATCTGTGGCCAGTTCAATAGAGGTACTTCCTCTTGAATGAGCTGGTAGAAGACTGTGGTTAATAGCATGGGTTCTGGACTCATAGCTGTTCCATTTATGGTTTGTTCTGGCTGCTTCATCTACTGGTTATTTAATAAGTCACCCCAAAAATCTTGTCTGTAAAATGGAGATAAAAGACCTATCTTTGAGGGGCTGGGACTGTGGCTCAGCAAAGCGCACTTGCCTGGCATGTGTGAGGCACTGGGTTTGATTCTCAGCACCACATATAAACAAAAATAAAGATCTATCAACAACCAAAAAATTTTTTAAAAAAATACCTACCTTTGAGAGGTGTTGAGAGGATGCAACAGTGTAAAATGTTTATTTCAGTAGTTGGCATGAGCAAGCATTCAGAAGATTAGATACTACCCTGTTGCTTGGACCCAGCCCACAGCCCTTGTGCCCAGACTTTCCACTCTACCACCAGGAGATTTGTTCCTTTTCCATTTTTCCTCTGAGCCCTTCTCAAGGTACCAAGAGGTGAGAAGACTCCTTGGACTGACTATGGAGCATTCACTAGTCTCAATCCCTTGCTGTTTTCCCCACCTCAGGGCTGAACATGGGCCCAGTTGTGGCAGGTGTCATTGGGGCTCGGAAACCACAGTATGACATCTGGGGGAACACAGTGAATGTCTCTAGTCGTATGGACAGCACAGGGGTCCCTGACCGAATACAGGTGAGAGGGTTATGAGCCAAGGCTGGGAGGGGTATGGGTCCAGAGGGCTTGCATAGGTCTCTGCAGGACAGGGGCAGGGTGGCAGTCTTCTGTTGCTGGTGGGATGGAGGTTGGGGGAGGGGAGCTAACCTGACTGGGGAAAACCTGAGCTTCTGCAAATGCAGCAAGAAGGATTCCAGGCTAAGCGGGCTCCCCTCCCACTCCCCTAGGTGACCACGGACCTGTACCAGGTTCTAGCTGCCAAGGGCTACCAACTGGAGTGTCGAGGGGTGGTCAAGGTGAAGGGCAAGGGGGAGATGACCACCTACTTCCTCAATGGGGGCCCCAGCAGTTAGCAGGACCCAGCTACAGATTCCACTGAAGGGACCAAGGTGGGCATTGAGTGGATTCTGTGCTTGCTGGGTGGAGTTGTGGCAGGGGGCACTGAGCCTCCAATCCTTGCTGAAGGCAGAAGGGAACACACCCAGCATGCTGTACTTGGACCATGCTCATCTGCCCTCAGACTGGTGATCAAGGGGATACCAAGAGGATTATGCAAGTGACTTTCTTATTCAGTTGAAGTTGTGCTGTTACCTTTCCTTTCTTCCAACTTGTGGGAGCAAGGGAAGGGGCAGTGGTGGCAGGGGAGCTCTTCTGCCCGAGAGATTAAAGTGGCAACTTGCCTTGCCTGCCCCTTTCTCTGTTTGGGTAACAGGCTCAGGGATGGGTCCTTCCTTACCCTCCTTCCCCTGGGAATATTTTGTACAAAGACTGGAGCCAGGCATGAGGAGTGCCTATTCCATGCTTGCCTTTGCTATGCCTGCATCCCCAGCACTGGTCCTGGGTACCCCAGCCCTGGCCAGGTCTCCCTTTTAAGCATAGAGCAGGAGGGAGATACCCTGGGGATCCAGCTCTGTCTACATTTCAGGGGAATGTTTCCATTTGCCAAATCCTAGTCCCATGATTTGTCCCCAAAGGGGAACAAAGGGACCTCTGACAGCTCAGATTTAGCCCCAATTCTTGCACACTCCAGGGAAAGGGGTGTTTGGCCTCATTGGTACTGTGAAAATGCCCAGCCAGAGAGCAAGCCTGTGTATGGGGATGTTAGATCAGGAGCTGGACATTCACCTGCAGGTGCCAAAGAGTGCAGGCGGCCAGGGAGGGGGGTGGTGTCAGACTGATCTGAGGCCCTGAAGTGGCCAGGATCAGGTTCCTTGGCCCCAGCACTCGCTTGCTCTCTGCTGGCAAGGGGGCAGGGAGCATCTCTACCCCTTCTATTGCCAAATAAAAAAGGGTCAGGGCACAGAGGAAGATGACCCTGATCCCAAACCTGGTCTCCCAGGTCTCTGACACTGGGGAGAGCCTGTGTGTTTGTATAACTGTGTGTGCATGTTGCTCTTTGTGTGTATGTATTTTCCAGGTCTGTGTGTGTCCTTGTACTTTTGCTCCTCAGCTCTCCACCCAGGGTTGCCTCTCTCCCATGGGCCTCTGTCTTCTGGGAATAAGGCAGGGTTTCCTATTTCAAGGGATGTAGAGAGATGCCCAGGTTGCACAGGTATGGGATGGGGTGTGGTAGCAAAAGGAGGGTGGCCTGGGAAGGGGAATCCTTTTTGTGCCAAATCCCTAAGTGCCGTTTGGGGGCCATATGTGCAGTATGACTGTCTCCCTGCCTAGGGCAGGAACCCAAGCACTTGCTTGAGCCCCAGTGCTCCATGCACTTAAACTGTTTGGGGTTTGTTGAGTAGAGACTCAGGAATTTCCTGGGTTCCTCAGCCTGTATCCTGGGATGTGGTATGCTTTGGGACTTGGGTAGCATGGAATCCCTCTGAGAACCCAGATACTGGTACTAAGGGATGGGACAGGGGAACCTTAAACTTGGCTTTTCCAAGTCATTAGCCTGAGTCTAGTGTGTTCCTGGCTCCCAATCCCCATGAAGCCTGTAAGGGCTGGTAGAAGGATTAGGAGGTTAGACTCACATTTCCTTCCTCTCCTTTCCTTCCTTTTACCCCTTTGCCTGCAACTTCCTCAACTTTGGCCTGAATTAGTTGGTGCCTTGGTTTTTCTCTCTGTACCTATTTAAGCCAGAAGCATTAGCCTGAATTTTGCTTGAAGATCACTTTTGTCTTGGAAGTCAGAGGAGAATGGGGTTTGGGGGTGGAAGGGGAAGGTAGTGTTCTAGATCTTCCTCATATTCCTTCAGCACCAGCTCCTTGCAGAGATCTGGTTTCTGGCTCGGTACTGCTTACCTTGGGGAATCTATCTCCATGCATCAACCAAATGGGCCACCAGGCACATCATTAGCCAAGGCAGAGGAAGGGAAAAGACTAGCTGTTCCAGACAGAAAATTGACTCCTCTTTGATATCTCTGAATAGGAAGAGACTACTTGGTGCCAGGGAGTAGGAGTGAGGGTGTAAGCCAGAGTGGGAAGACCTCAGCCTTGAATGACTTGTCTCTGCTTCTTGCCAGGTGGGAGGGGCCTGTCCATATCCTTGCTCCCTGTACCACAGTGCCAGCCATGCCCTTCCCCTGGTTACCATTGCCTCTTTCCTCACCAGGTGGTGGAGGAGTCAGGGGATGGGAAGCCATGGACTTTGGTTTTATAAAGTAACCACTGTGGGAGTGGGGGAGGGTGGTTGTACCATGTATTTCAGTGAAATATTTAATATATTTAAATATCAATAAAATCAAACTCTTTGTAAAATTCCCTGTTCTCTGCAGCTGTTCTGGGCCCTGGGTTGGATCAGAAGTGGCAAAGCCTGGTTGTTGGAGGCAACCTTTTGCCCCAGGACTCTGTGGGACTCTGTGGTCCATGGTCTGAGGGCTTCCTGTGGCTTTCTCCCTGCCAAGGTAAAGCTACAGTGTCTTCAGAGAGTTTGACGACTCTAGGCCCTTCATCAACATGAGGACCAGCTGTGTCTTCCAAGATTTGTTACTTTGACTCCTGCTATGCCTTAGGTCTGGACCCCTGTGGTTGTCTTTCCAGTGCCTTGACTCCTTCACAACCCTCACACCAAGATCTGGTCTCTTCAGGAATCTCTCACACACCTCCTTTCACAATAATTAGGGCTTTGGAATGACTTCCCTACCCAAACCCTAGTGCACACAAGGGACTTCTAGTCCAATCTGTTTACTCTGCTTTCTTGATTCCCCTCTTCCCATTAGTCAAAGTCATCAGAACTGGGATACTTCTCCCTCTTTCCCACTCCTTGTACTTCTTTCACAATCCATCTTGTTTGTCCTTATATAATCATATCCTCCTCAATATAGACTGAAGTTTCTGTCGTTAAGAATGGAGTGATCCATAAACCTGGAAAGGAGAGAAATGGTCTGAGATTCAGCCATGCTAGGCTGGAGGCTTGGGGAAAATCCTTACAAATAGTCCCAAGACTACCTCAGAATGTGCAGGGGTAATGATGAAAAAGTAGGGGAGCAACAAAGGTAGTGGAAACATCCTCGGGCTCCCACAGGAATGGCACAGACATGTCTTGTGCTCCTCAGAAATCATATCTACAATGTGAAAACACAAACCTAGCTGGGCACTGTGGCTCATTCCTGTAATCCCAACGATTTGGGAGGCTGAGGTGGAGGATTACAAATTCAAGACCAGCCTCAGCAATTTAGGGAGACCCTTAACAACTTAGTGAGTTCCTGTCTCAAATTTTAGAAACAATAAAAAGGGCTGGGGATGCAGTTCAGTGGTAAAGTGCCCCTGTGTGCAATCCCCAGTACAAAACAAAAAAGAAGAAAGAAATCCTTAACTCCATTGAACACCACTACTGCCCAGGTTCTGTGACCAGTCTTTCCTAATAAGACCCAAACCTCTCCTAATTCTCCAATGTTGAACAGAGATAAAACAGCCTAATGATTTCAGTAAGAGGAGGGAATACTTCCCTTGGTTTTCCCACCCTGACCCCTCCCTAACCTAACCTGGTCATTGGGCTTTTAATGAGACAGTGGCGTGGGCTCCAGATCCATGGCATGGTTTTCTCCGGACGTACTCCTGGATCATGAGACCGCCAGAAGCTGAAGTTCTGAGCATCAGTCAGAGGGACTCTGAAGACCTGATTGGGGACTGAATGGATTGGGTGGTGGGGAGGGCAGGTTACTGAATTCCTTCAAGTTTACCACTTATTTTTCTCCCTTCCCAAAAGCCCAGCCAAGCAACTGGGCCTGACCAGGTGCTCAGAGGTCCTGGGAATGTGGTTACCACACCCTGCTTTACTTCCGGATTCCAGCATCTTACACCTTTCATGGTCAGGTGAATTAGTCTTGGTTCTTCCTGTTGCCAGTAAGCCATCTCCAAGAAAGCTTCCCCAAGAGCTAAGATGGTGGAAGAACAAGTGGTCAACCCACTTGGGAATTGTATTAGATGGTGTCCACTGATTTCATTATTTTCTTTTTTTCTGGGCTTAATCATCCTTACTTCTTTCCCTCCTCTCTGAAATAATGTCTTCTTTTTCCTCACTCCAGGTAATTCTCTGAAACTTAACAATGATACCACCTCACTTTTAGATACAGATATCAAGTGCTATCATGTTCTAGAGGTATTAGGTGTTTTTAAAAACTTACCTAGATACTTTTAAAAATATATATATTTTCACCAGGCATGGTGGTGCATGCTTGTAATCCCAGAGACTTGGGAGGCAGAGGCAGGAGGGTCACAAGTTCAAGGCTGGCTTCAGCAATTTAGTGAGGTCCTAAGCAATTTAGTGAGACCCCGTCTCAAAATAAAAAATAAAAGGGCTGGGAATGTGGCTTAGTTGTTAAAAAAAAAAAAAGTATTCTCACTGTTCGGATAAATCTAATTCTACTTGTGTATAAAATTTGGGTATTTTTTTAAACTTAGATTTATGGCCTAATATTTTGGTTTGCTCTGTGGTTTTTATAATCATGATTTTAAAAAAATCTAATAATTCACTGAGTAAATATATTTACTTGTTTTCCTATTAATTAATAATAAGCTAAAAGTATTTTAGCTTTATAAATTAAACTTTAATTTTGAGATAGGTAGATTCAATAATAATACCTGGAGATCCCCTCAATGGTATTATGTTGCAAAACTATAGTACACTACTAGAACCAAGATGTTAATGTATTAATACAGAACTGTTCCATTGCTGTTGATCCTGGTGCTGCCATTTTGTAACATTATTAACCTGCTTCCTTGTTCATTTTGAGAGAGAGATAAAGAGAATGCCTGCTTTACTGGTCTACCAGTCTTACAGAATTGATATGAAGATCACACCAGAGCTGAAATAATTTAGGAAGGTACTTTGTATATTATCACACAGTACCCCATGGTGAGTAGTAGGGCAAAGCACCAAGCTTTAAATTTAACTAAACTGAGCTTAAATTCCAGACAAGTTGTGTGATTTTGGACAAGTTAACTTCTTTCTTCTTCATTTCTATAAGTTTGTAAATTTATGAATGCTATATAAATGGCATACCAATTGTAACCTTTTGGGATTGCCTTTTTTGTTTTGTGGTGCTGGGGACTGAACCCAGGGCCTTGTGCATGTGAGGCAAGCACTCTACCAACTGAGCTATATCCCCAGTCCTGGATTGCCTTTATTTTTTGTTTGTTTGTTTGTTTTTAGTTGTAGATGGGCACAATATTTTCATTTTATTTATTTATGTGGTGCTGAGGATTGAACCCAGTGACCCATACATGTGAGATGAGCGCTCCATCACTGAGCCACAACCCCAGTCCTGGATTGCCTTTCTTTACAGAGCATAATTTTCTCAAGATTTCTACAATGTATCACATGCATCAAAAATTTGTCCTACATGCTTTTTCACAACAGTGCTAGAGTTTTATTCCCATTTTTATTTTTTAATTTAATTAATTTATTTGGGGGGGGGTTTACCGGGGATTGGAGTACTGGGGATTGAACTCGGGTACTTGACCACTGAGCCACATCCCCAGCCCTATTTTGTATTTTTATTTACAGACAGGGTCTCACTGAGTTGCTTAGCACCTCACTTTTGCTGAGGCTGACTTTGAACTCGCGATCCTCCTGCCTCAGCCTCCAGAGCTGCTGGGATTACAGGTGTGTGCCACCATACACATCTTTATTCCCATTTTTAGATGGTTCAGAGAAGTTAACTTGCCCTAAATCACACAATTTGTCTGGAGTTTAAGCTCAGTTTAGTTAAATTTAAAGCTTGGTGCTTTGCCCTACTACTCACCATGGGGTACTGTGTGATAATATGCAAAGTACCTTCCCAAATTATTTCAGCTCTGGTGTGATCTTCATATCAATTCTGTAAGACTGGTAGACCAGTAAAGCAGGCATTCTCTTTATCTCTCTCTCAAAATGAACAAGGAAGCAGGTTAATAAAGTGTAAGTGACCCACAGAAAGTCAGATGTCTAAAATGAGGCAGAACTAGGATTTAAACCTGTATATTGTGCTTTCACGTCTGATTCAATTTATATTTCATCAGGCTCACCTACCATTCCAGTCTACTTTCTCCCACCTCTTCTCAGTCTCTCTCCCTGGCTCTTTCTCTCTTCCTGCCCTATAATCATGCCTCAATGATATAATCCTAGCATGGTACTCACTCCAAGGTACTTACATGTTTTTAGCAACACCTTCCGTACAGCTTCATTGTATCTCATGTGACTATTCTGGTGCAGGAAATAATTCCCATCTTCTGAGATAATGGGGGGAAGCCTAGTGGACACTGATTCCTCTGGTCTGAAACAAGAACAAATTCATTCAATGAGTACCTGGCAAATGTGGCTCTTTGGTTCTCTGATTCCGTAGTCTCCATATCAACTAGGTACATGGCAGGGATCTCTCCTAACCACTCACACCAAATTCTCTTTTTTTTAATATTTATTTTTTTTCTTATAGGTGGACACATATCTTTATTTTATTTTATTTTTATGTGGTGCTGAGGATCAACCCAGGGCCTAATGCATGCTAGGTGAGCGCTCTACCTCTGAGCCACAATCCCAGCCCCTCACACCAAATTCTCAAGATCTCAGGAGTCAAATCACCATGACTGTGACAGAGGGGAAGAGTGATCACAAGAATTCCCTCACTGCTGTCTTGCTTCTCTGAACTCGGAATATTGGATAAATATTTAGGGTTAGTACTGGGGAAGATGGATCCTTATCTGGATAGATACTCCTTTCCTGGGATTGACATGTTTATAGAATTGCAAATGGCCTAAAATGGGAAGTTATGTTTGATCTAAGTCTTAGTCCATAAGTAGGAGTCCCTGAGCCACAGTAGAACCAGAAAGAACATTTTAGGGAGCAGGATGGCAAATGCATTAGAAGCTTTATAGAGGCAGCAGAGAACTTTTGTTGGTTTAGTTCCTGGATTGCTGGGTGAAGTGGAAAGGGACAAGGGATGGGACTCATAAGGTAGTGTAGTGATTACCTAACATTCATTATGCTTGGGAAGCATCTCTTATGAAACAAAACCTGTATCTCACTTTAGAGGCTGAGAAAACCAGATCTTTCTCACTCAGGCTCTTTCACAGCAAGGACGTAGACAAAAACTTTTGGCTAGTCTAATTAAATACATCTGATCCATATTTTGAATCAAACATGAGGTTGGAAGGGAGATGTGGCTAGATAAAGTTTATTATTATTTTTCCTAGTGATGGGCATTGGGAGAAGTGTCACTAAATCTTGTTTCTCAACAGCAGTATAGCAGTATCCAGGACTCTGTGTCCTTGGTGTCAGCAGTGCCCACTGAATGTAGGTAATGTCTCTGCCAAACCACGTCTGTGGCATGATTCTGAGCATTGTTATTGGTTATTCCACATCAAGCTTGGTTCTCCATTCCCCCTGCAGCTTTTATATGCTTCCCAGTGTTCTTTTTTTAAAATATTGTGTCCATCTACAATTAAAAAAATAAATATTAAAATAAATAAAGATATTGTGTCCATATACAATTAAAAAAATAAATATCTTTATTTGTCTTATTTTTATGTGGTGCTGAGGTTCGAACCTAGAGTCTTAGACATGCTAGGCGAGCACTCCACCCCTGAGCCACAACCCTAGCACCCCCCCCCCAAGTGTTCTTTTATAATGCATTCATGGGCTGGGGTTGTCGCTAAGTGGTACAGCATTTGCTTTGCACATGTGAGGTACTGGGTTTGATCCTCAGTACCACATAAAAAATAGATGAATAAAGTTATAACGTCCATCTATAACTAAAATATTTTAAAAATAGAATACATTCATGTTCTACTTAAATAGGCTAGATTCAGCTTGCATTTCAGAATCTTGAACAAGAATGGATGGATTTGAGAAAATTTAGGATGCAGAAGAATATGACTTAGAGAGTGAGAAAAAGGGAAGTATTCAGGGTAGCTTCCTCCAAGATTTCTGTCTCCTGGCCATTACATCCATTCTGTCATCCCAGGGGAAAAAGGTGCTAGGCCCCTTGCTGTCTTTCCTCCAGCTAGTGTCTGATGTAGAGTAGAATCCAGCTCTACATCTGATGTTTTCAATGCCTTGTTCTGTTGGCATCAAGTAGTGGCTTTGTCCCACCCTCTCAGATTTTTATATTTCTTGTTTTGTGATGCTTGTCAGGAACTAGATGTGGTCCAGTATTTGCTATTCTCTCTGAAAATGGTTGAGGATTGCTGACTCATCTCTGGTGAAGTGTAGGGATGCTACTTTTGTAGGGATGTTCCTGATTTTCTCTTAGCTTGGCCCCACTCATTCATCATCTCTGATCCTTCTCTCTCCCTTTTTCCCTCAAATCAAAATCTCCTCTAACATTATGTATTTGAAATAATTATAATAGGGTGGGAAACAGTTTGAAACTCCTCCCTGTATATCTGAGGACCTAAAAGAGGTGGCAGTATTAAAGCCTTGTTTAGAGTATAGAGTTTTGGAAGCTTAGACTGAACCAGAGGGGTGATTTGTATTTCATCACAGGTTATTGCAATGAGGGACCATTTCCTAGAAGCAGTGACATTTGAGTTTGTCATTTGAATTTAGGATCCCAGAAGTGTGACTTCTAGATTAAGGCTTGGGACACAGTGGTGATAATATCCAACACACATTAATTGCTATTGTCTAGGAGTTGGATTGCTGTATGCAGAGTAATACCACACTGAGTAGAAATTCATGCAAGGTTAGCTTGAGAGAAAATGTTAATGATATTGTACATAAAAATGACTCTTCTCTAGGAAGTCATATCAAATATTGGACATTAATCCCTTGAAGTTGGCTGGAACATTAAGATGTACTGAAATCAGCTGAAGTGTGTTTGGAGGGCTATCTTGCACTTACTGTCTTCCCTGATGCAAGGAAATTATCAATGTTTTGGGATGAAGTGAAGAGGAGCCCAGGAAAGCATATATCTAGGGAACGAGACCAATCCCCAGAGCATGTTTTCCATATGGGGGCAGTTCTTTTGCCTCCACATTCAAAAATACCTTTCTCACAGTGGTGTACTTGTTCAGAATTCTGAACACAGGGGAAGTAGATGGGCCATGAGACAGCAACGGAACTTAGTGCTGGTTGCAGACTGCTGATTAAAGTGGATTGCATGGATTTTCTAGAGATAATAACAATAAAAGTAGCCAATACTTGATAAACGTGTTTAACACAACTCTGTAAGGTAAGACCTACTATTATTTTATAGAGGGGAGACAGAGGCACAGAGAATTTTAGAAATTTTCCCAAGGTCATAAAACTAGCTTGTGGTAGAGACACAAGTTAACCCAAGAAGCTTGGCTCTGGAGCCCACGCTCTTACTCCTAGACTGCACTGCCCCTTGAAGTAACCTCATCAGGACTTTCAGGAAGGACCAAGGAGGACTTAAGATTAATAGAAGCAGCCCTGTGATGAGCTCCTTTCACACAGCTCATTAGAGACCCTGTGAAGGGTGTCTGTTCACCTGGAGTAGCCTTGAGTTGAGTAGGAGATATGATAAAATTGCCTTGATATGGAGGCAGAACCCTGCCTCTCTGAATTCTACCAAATGTGGAACTTCATTTCCTATGGCCAGTCTCAGGATAGCAGAGTACTGAATCTTGGTGAATCACTCTACCAGTGCATTGGAGCAGTCCTAGTAGGGAAGACTGGTGGGGAAAGGCTGAGCTCCTGTGGAAAAAGTGTCCTGTCTGCTGCTTACAGACATGGTTGCCTGCTTGGAGCCCACTCCCTAGGCTTCAGCAAATTGTGGCTATGACTAGCAAGAGTGCCTCCTTCTAGTTTCATGTGGATAGGGTATGGTGGTCTGTAGCAGTTACGAGACAATGTGGGTTATTTCCAAGATACATTTCTATAACTTTGATAGCAGAGGGGCTCAGGCTGTGACCAGTTCATTCTTGGGTGAATATTGTGCTATTCATGCTCCTGTTTGAAAAGCCAGACCTACAGTGCCCTCTGCTGGAATATAAGAGTAGCACTTCCAGTCATCTCTTGACCTGTAGGTCACCAAGCAAGGAGCTCAGAGAGGCCAGGAGGCCTAGGAGATTGAGCAGAAGACATTCCAACCAGGATTGGGAAAGCAACTGTTGCATCCTATGACAGGATTCAGAAAATAAGAACATAAGAGAGTTAGTTGTATTCAGCTTTTTACCAGTCTTGAGATTAACCTTTCATTGAAGAAATTAATTTGAAACTAGAAGTGACAGCAACTCTGAAGACATGTTAGTAAATTCCTCTGGGAAGGGGAATAAGGACAAGCAATGGAGGAAACTGGATTGAGGCCCTTTGGATGTGCAGAACTTGGAGGTCTGTGTGTCTGTGGTTAGAAGCCAGTCACTAGAGTCTATCAGGGAGAGGTAATTTGTTTCAAGAAAGAACAAGCATAATTTCTCTCTACCACCCACCCCCATCCATTGGCCTCTGAGAACTCCATTCAGTGGGCAATGTCCTGACTTCCTGTACTTGTGAGATCCAACTTGACCTAGGGTCTTCAGATAATAAGGCAAGGAAGTCATCCCAGCAAAGGGCCAGATTAGAGGCAGTTTATTTGAAAATTGGTCTTGACCAAGACACTTTTGGACCAAGAGGAGTGTGTAGGTATGAAGCTAAGAGTGATAGGAGAACAGGGCTCAAAGCAGGAGGTGAAACAGATTTAACAAAGGAAGGGGCATAAATATAAAGGCTTGCTCACCCAGGCAAACTTACATACTCAAGAGACCAGGGCATAAGATTCTGAATGAATTCTGGAAGCTAAGCTGAGCCTGTAGAACAACTCTGATTATGATTAGGAAGGGTGAGTCTGGGAGGGATAGGAATGGTTGGTGGATGAGAGTTCTAGTCATTGGTCAGAGGTGCTCTTCTGTGGGTAGTTGTAGTTGATCAGGCTCTTTCAGGGACTATATGAAATATCCTTTGAAACTAGCAATTTTTACTCCTCAATAAATAAATACATTAAACAAAGGTCCATCAACAACTAAAAAAAGTATTTAAAAAACCCTAAAACACAGTTTAGTAACAGTTAACAGTGTTTCCTGTTTTCCAGCTGGGAACAGGGTGCACACAGGTAATTCCGGCAACTCGGGAGGCTGAGGCAGGATTGCAAGTTTGAGGCCAGCCTCAGCAACTTAGTGAGGCTGTGAGCAACTCAGTGAGGCCTTGCCTCAAAATAAAAAAAATAAAAATGACTGGGGATGTAGCTCAGTGGTAAAGAGCCTCTGGGTTCAATCCCCAGTACTAAAATAATGACGACAACAACAACAACAAAGAAAAAACAACCCAAAATCTG